AGATCGCTCTTATAGGCAAAAGATGCACCCCGAAGCATTTACCGTTACATATTTGTAGTTTAAAGTGATATTTGTAAAGTAACTAAGAAAAACTATTAGAGAAAGTAAGTATATTAAAAAAAGTTAGTTAAAAAAAGTGAGGAATGGTTCATATGTGTGACATGTGCAAATGATGCTCGTTTTACTATTTTCTACTATTCTGATATTTTTCATCTACAGTAAAAGATGTGTAGGGCAACGTGGAAGAGGAGCAGTGAGGAGATTCTGCTATGCCTCCCATAGAATGCCTTTTAACCTCAAAGCTGCCAAGATAAATATCTGTACGTACAAATATCTCTTGTTACAATGGCTGTGAAATATAACAAATACTAGAAAATATAAAAGAGTGACATCTGTGACCAGCAGGGTTTATCTGAAGTGGAAAGGGAGGAAGCTAGATGTTCAAAATGACATGAGTGATGCATGAAAACACATACAAACCCCAAATAAGAAAGTGATTAGTATGTCAACCTTGTATTTGTTTTCTTTTCTTTCTTTTCTTTTTTTCTTTTTTTTCAGATGGAGTCTCACTCTCTTGTCCAGGATGGAAAGCAGTGGCACGCTCCCATCACTGCAACCTCAACCTGCTGGGCTCAGGTGATTCTTCCCCCTCAGCCTTCCAAGTAACAGGAACTACAGGCACACATCACCATGCCTCGCTAATTTTTTTTTAAATTATAGAGATTAGGTATTGCCAAGTTGCCCAGGCTGGTCTCGATCCTGTAGGCTCAGGCAATCCTTTCACCTCGGCCTCCCAAAGTGCTGGGATTGTAAGCGTGAGCCACTGCACCCAGCCTAACCTTGCATTTCTATGGAGAAAACTTCCTTGAAATTTGTGTGCACACATCTGACTTTTCTACAAGTTGGGACATCTGAGTACAATAGCATTGCTTTTTAAAAATTGATAGACTTTTTAGAGTAGTTTTAGGTATACAGAAAAGCTGAACAGAGTTCCTATATTCCCTGTCTTATCAAGCCACATACAATTTTCCCTTTTATTAACAACTTGCATTAGTACAGTGCATTTTGTACAATTAATTAATTAAGTCTGCAGTTTACATTACCTTTCACTCTTTCTGTTGTACAGTTCTATGGGTTTTTCCAAATGCATAATGTCACTTGGTGTGACTTCCACCAATACGATAATGTAACATCTACCATTCTAGTATCATACAAAATAATTCCATTGCCATAAAAATACCCTAGGCTCTATTTATTCATCTCCCTTCCTGAAATCCTGCCAACAACTCATCTTTTTACCGTCTCCATATTTTTGCCTTTTCCAAAATGTTGTATAGTTGGAATCACACAGTATGTAACTTTTCAAACTGGCTTCCTTAATTTAGCACTATGTATTTAATCTTTCTCCATGTCTTTTCATGGCTTGATAGCTTATTTCTTTCTCTCTAAATATTATTCTGTGTATATACCAAGTTAATCCACTTAGCTATTGAAGTACATCTTGGTTATTTCCAAGTGTCTGCAATTATGAATAAAACTGCTATAACATTTGTGTACAGATAAGTTTTCATACCAGTTGAGTAAATATCAAGGAGCACAATTGCTGGATAGTATAGTGATACCACATTCAGCTTTATGAAAAACTGCCAAACTGCCTTCCAAAGTGACTGTATCATTTTGCGTTCTCACCAGCATTTGATATTGTCAGTGATTTGGATTTTGGTCCTTTTAGTAGGTGTGTAGTGGCATCTCATTGTAAATCTCATAATTTTCAATTCTTGTTTGATATATGCTGCCAGACTTCTTATATGCTTTATTTGCCTTTGGCAAATTATCTGTCTAACTCACTCATTTTTATTGTTTTTCTTATTTTCTTATTGTTGAATTTTAAGAGTTCTTTGGATGTTTTGGTTAACTGTTTTTATCAGATATAGCTTTTGCAAGTATTTTCTCTGAATCTTTTGTTTTTCTTTTAATTCTTTTGATAGTCTTTTGCAGAGCAGAAATTTTTAATTCTAACAGTCAAACTGATTAATTTGTTCTTTCATGGATAAAGCTTTTGGTGTTACCTAAAAACTCATTGCCAAACCCAAGGACATTTAGATTTTATCCTGTGTATTGTCTAGAAGTTTTTAGCTTTGTGTTTTATATTTACACCTGTGATCCATTTTAAGTTAATTTTTGTGAGAGGTATAAGATCCGCATCTACATGCCTTCTTTTTTTTTTTTTTTTTTATTGTGGATGTCCAGTTATTCCAGCATCATTAGTTGAAAGGCTATCTTTGCTCTATTTTATTGTCTTTGTTCCTTTGTCAAAGATCAGATGCTTGTGTGGGCCTACTTCTGGGCTTTCCATTTTGTTGTATTGATCAACTTGTCAGTTATTTCACCGGTACCACAATATCTTGATCACTGTAGCGTTATAGTAATTCTTGAAGCCAGGTAGTGTCAGTCCTCTAAGTTTCTTCTTCTCAGTATTAAAATGGCTATTCTTGATCTTTGTATTTCCATGTAAACTTTACAGTCAGTTTCTTGGTGTAGACAGTATAACTTGCTGAGATTTTAATTGAGATCGTGTTGAATCCATTGATCAATTTGGAACAGACTTAACATCTAAGCATGTTGAAGGTTCTTATCTTTAACATGGGATATCTCTCCATTTGTTTACTTGTTTCTTTCTTCAGAGTTTTATAGTTTTTCTTCTATAGATTTTGTATTATTTTGTTAGATTTATACCTAAGTATTTCATTATTTTGGTGTTGATGTAATTGGTAGGTTTTTAATTTCAAATTCCAATTGTTCATTGTTGACTTGTAGGAATGCAAGTGGTTTTTTAATGACAATCTTAGATGCTTCAACCTTGAAAATAATCACTTAGGTTGTCTTGTTCTTGTCAATTCTTTGGGTTTTTTTTTTACATAGACAATCATGTCATATGCCAAAAAAGAAAGAAAAAAGGATAGTTTTATTTCTTCCTTCCCAATTTGTTTGCTTTTTTATTTTCTTTTTATATGTCATTCCATTAGCTAGGACTTTTAGTATGATGTTGAATAGGCATGTGGTGAGAGGTAAAGCCTTCCCTTTTGTTCTATATCAGGGGAAAGGCATTTAATTTCTCAGCATTAAGTATGATGTTAACTGTTGGTTTTCTGTAGAAGCTATTTATCAAGTTGAGGAGGTTCCCTCTATTCCTTATTTGCTGAGAGTTGTAAGAAGATGCTAGATTTTGTCAAATGAATTTTCTGTATTTATTGATATGATCATATGATTTTATTTTTTAGGGTTGATGAGATGGATTACATTCATTTGTTTTCAATGTTGAAACAGCCTGACATACCTGGGATAAATTCTGCTTGGTAATATGTATAATTCATTTTATATTATTGAATTTTATTTGCTAATATTTTGTTGAGGAATTTAAAAATTCATATTAATGAAAAATATTGATCTATACTTTTCCTATCTTAAAATGTCTATGTCTGGTTTTAGTCTTCACTCACTGCTGGCTTATAATATGACCTAGAAAGTATTCAATATTTCCACCTTATTTTACTGAAAATATTGTAGAGAATTTCTATCTTAAATGTTTGGTAGACTTCACCAGTGAATGGGCTTCGAGCTTTTAAAGGAAGGTTGTTAATTACTATTTATTAGATACAGGCCTACTCAGATAGTCTATTTCTTCCTTGTGAAAGTTTTGGTAGTTTGTGTCTTCTAAGAAATTGGTCCGTTTCATCTATGTTATCAAATTTGTAGGCATAGAGTTGTTCACTGGATGCAGAATTTTAGGTTAGTGAATTTTTTCTTTCAACAGTAAATACTTCATTCCACTGTTTTTTTCTTCATAGTTTCTGAAGATAAGTTTTATGTAATTTTTACTATTTCTCTCTATATAATGTCCCCATAACTGACCTTCTTTCAAGATTTTCTCTTTGTTTTCAATTCTCTGCAGTTTGAATACTATATGTCTAGATATATAGTCTGGTATTTATCCTAAGTGTTATTTTAGTTTCCTGATTTGTAGTTTGGTGCCTGTTAATAATTTTGAAAATTTTTCAGCTATTATTACTTCAAATATTTCTCTTGTTCCTGTTTCCTTCTCTTTTTGGTATTCCCATTATGTGTATGTTACACCTTTGTAAGTTATCTCACAGTCTTTAGATATTCTGTTCCATCTTTAAAAAAAATATTTTATCTCTTTGCATTTAACTTTTAGGAGTTCATATTGACATGACTTTGAGTTCACCAATTCTTTCCTAGCTATGTCTAATCTATTGATGAGCCCATTAAAGCATTATTCATTTTTATTAGTGTTTTTATTTCTATTTCCTTTTGATACTTTTTTAGCATTGTCATTGCTCTGCTTATTACCCATCTGTTCTTGCATATTGCTTACTTTTCCCCTTAGAGTTTTTAGCCTATTAATCAGAAGCATTTTAAACTTCAAGTCTGGTAATTCTAAAATCTTTGCCAATTCTGAATCTGGCTCTGGTGCTCGCTTTGTTTCACCAGACTGTTATTTTGCCTTTTAATGTAACTTTTATTGAAAGCTAAATATATCAGATAAAAGGAATCTGAGGTAGGTAGATCTTTTGTGTGAAGTTTAATGTTTATCTGGCCAAGAGTTAAGCTGTGTTTACTGTAACTGTGATATCAGAGGATAAAATTGCTTATAGTGTTCTTGTTTTTGTCCCCTGTTGTCTTTGGGTGTTGATGGCCTCCAGAAATGGGATCTGAGGCTTGCAGTTCTTTTAGCTTTAACTCCTTGCTGTTTTGCAAGAGCACTATTGCTGCAGTAATTTAACAGTTCTCAGTCTTTTAGTGAACGGACGTTACATATTTGTTTTCCCAGTATCAAAGTCCAAAGGAGGCTGGAATTGGGTGTTTCCCTTGCCCAGGTCATTTGGGCTTTGGTAAAACCCCATCAGAATTAAGCTCTGGTAAAATAGTTTCCTTTGAGGGTAGATAGTCCTTGTTGAGGAGAAGAGAGTGCTCTGAGCATATTTCAAAAATGGCTACTTGTCCCCTCTATCCTGAGAAAAATAACTAAAGGACTTTTCTGTGATCTTCATAGTGAGAACCTGGTAGAAATGTTGCAAGTAAAACTCTGAAAAGTGTGGGAATTCTCCAAGACTGGGTTTCTTCAGAGTTTTAAATTCTAAAGCTAGTCCACACTGAGCCTCTAGCAATTCGTGAATTACATTTAAAGAATTGCTACCAACACTGACTTCAGCTGTGGGCATCTGCCTTTTTGCACCTGCTCCTTGTGAGCCCTGATTCTCTGCATCTGCCTGTCTGTTTCTCCAGGTTTGTTTTATGATTTTTATTATCTGATTGAGCTAAGAGAGTTGTTGGTTTTCAGTTTGTTTGATTTTATTCTTGTTGGGAGAATGAGAGTGATTACTTCCAAGCTCTTTGCATGTCAAACCAGAAACCAAAGTCTGTTTATTGCGTTCTGAACTGCATTGCTTTATGCCATAAAAACAGGTCACCTTTAGATAAACGTTTGAAAGGCAATCGCAGGAGATGTAAGTGCAAAGAAAGGGCTATAATTTGTCTCAGTAGCACATTTTATCTACTTTTTCTGGAGAACCAGTGTGCAATTGGAATGGTACTTTTTCCCATCTTTTCATTTAGACTATTTCAGTTGATGTTTGGGCACACATACACACAAAATGAAAGAAGACAGATCTCTAAACTGCATCTGTGTCACAATTTGCATAATCACTACAAGTGTTAAATATATATGGAAATCAGTTTAGACACAGTGAAACTCCTGAATCATAAATACCTGTATTTTTACTTTATGTACATTAGATATCAAGTTTTATTAAACTTCTTTATTACATAAATTATAGTAAATTACATTAAATTATAAACTTCACACTTGTCAATGGTGAGTGATTAATTATCTACCTTAGATGTTATTTATTTTAGCTTAGTGTTGGATCCCTGGTTGTCCTTATTCCCAAAGACCAGAACCTCCCAGCTCAAGGAGTAAAACTGAGCAGTTATTTATTTATTTGTGGTATTTTTAGATTTAAAATTATTTGCATGCAGTTAAATGTATAGATGTCCATGATTGATTCACAAATCCTTGTTACTCTGAATTGTATAGAGCCTGATTAAAATTACATGCCATAGAAAAAATTACATGCCACAGTGTCTTGTCTTTTTCCCATTTTAAAGTTGTGACATTGTTGTTTCTATGCATCCCAAATAGTTCTGTTTTGTCAAAGTCCAGACTTAACCTGGCACCTTCCTTATATCTAGCACACTCATAAATCAGTGACCATTCACAGTTGTATTATACTCCTGTTACTATCTTTTCTCATAGTTCTCTCACTACACAAAGCTTCCTATATGAGTTTGTCACAACAAAAGGTCAAGTACAGAGGGACTATGTCCTTGTTTCACTGAGCATATATGTGCTCAAGTATTTCCTGATTAAAGAAAGAGAACCTACATCTGCTGTATATTACTAGGCAGTGGATTCCTCGTGATTAGCAAGACATTGTGTGCTTTCCTCTACTGAGGGTCTAGAGGAATAAATAAGGACTATGGTAGGAGACAGTAGAGAAAAAGACTAAGTCAGGAATTCTTGGGATAGTCAGAGAGGGTTAACTGAAGAGGTAACAGCTAAATTGAGACTTGAAGGATGTGAAGAATGGAGGAATGGGCCCCCCTGCAGGAAAACCAAGAGCC